TTGAAAGGACAGGCTGGCGTGAGCTGCTGATGTACATATATCTCTTGTCCTTCTTTTTTTTTTGTTTTATATCTTCTAAGTAATAAAGGTTATTTCTCTTCCTCTACGAATCCATAATTTTTTCCTAACAGAAATATCTATAAAATGAAAGGATTTAAAAGCACGAATGTTTCTTTTATACATAACACAAACTTCTACTGCCCTTACTGCGATGAAAAATATATATTGAGAGGGCTTGGCTCATCAGTGGTGAACCCTCCCAGCGGTTTCGCCAATTTAATCGACCAGACCGCTTCTCAGAGCTCTAATACTGTATTGAACGATTCTGCTTATATACGCAGCACTGAAGGATGGAATCTCAGAAATGGGTTTAAAGAAAACTATGGACATAAGCTTATAGAACAGTAGAATTACATTCAAATATTTGCATCGAGCAATGCTCTTCCGCAAACAATAAAGACAAGGCCAGTTAGGCATAAATTAACACAAAACAATAACGCGCCATCTATACATATAAAATGAAAGGATTTAAAAGCACGAATGTTTGTTTTATACATAATGCAAACTTCTACTGCCCTTACTGCGATGAAAAAATATATTGGGAAATATATAGAAAAATCTATCTATATTTAAAAAAGAGGGGGAAGTGTAGGAAAAGACAAGAAGCGGAAGGTCAAATTGGAACTTGGCGTGACGTCAAATTTGTCAAAGACAAGATGGGACAAGACTATGAAGATCTGCGTGAGTCGCCGACAGCATTAGCCTATTTCAGTCCCAGGAGAGCTGAGGAACGAGGTTAATCTTATGTCTAATTATTCCCCAATTACTCACCGCTAATTGGACAGGAGAACTCCGCCGAGACTCCGAACTTTACTTCAGGACCCCACAACTACACAGAGACTGTTGACAGGGACCGTCACACGGGACTTTCTGGTCAGAACACCACAACTACCGTCACACGGGACTTTCTGGTCAGAACACCACAACTACCGTCACACGGGACTTTCTGGCCAAGTAATAGTGAAAAGAAGTTCGACTTTTGCAATAACAAATACACCAGAGCCCCTGTTGGTTACTTGTACTCGCTAGTGGGGTCGAACATTTTCAAAAATCGGGGGCCATTGGGAGATTTATTTTCAAATCAGAGAAAAAAAAGCCCAATACGGGATTCGAACCCGGGTCGTAGCGGTCGAACCAACGGTTTAGACCTTCCTTCCATCGACCCCTCTCTAGAAATAGCTTGTGGAATCATTGTATTATTTATTTTTCTTAATCAAACGTAGTAAAATATCTTTAAAAACCTATCAAAAAACATATATTTATGAATATTTTGAATAATTATGGCACTATTGTTTTTTTTTTTCAAAAACAAATTTTTACTAAGCCTTTACTATAGTGAAAAAAATATTGGGAGGACATGGCTCATCTATGGTAAACCCTCCAAGTGTAATATATCAGACCACTTTACTATTATAAACTTCAAGATATATTTTTGGTAATGTTATTTTTGTAGGTTAAATATTAATACACAAACATATAGAGCTTGTGGACAAAGCTTAAGGAATGTCTTTACTGACGCCGGACATCCATTCTTTTGAAGGAGACAGAAGCACTTTTGTTCCATTTTGTCCATTGTTTTAGATCGTCTGTGTATCCCCGTCGTCTCCTTCCCCTCGATTTCTTCCCCTGGAGCTTTCCCTCCAACACTGTCAGCAATGTCTCTTGGATATTTCATCATATATAAAAACATATATATGTTGTAATAAATATTATTTTGAGATAGAGATCAATTGCTGGTTCTTTTTAGTACTAAATGGTATTGGTGGTGCAGTCGTGGCAAGAATCTTGAAAGTAAAATAATAAAAATAGTAAAGATTAGAAATTGCTTTAATTGCGCTTATAAGATATATAAAAACATAATTTGATAAAATTACAGCCTGGCTTAAGGCGTAAGAGTAAAAAAGAAAAGCTTATTTACATAATGTACAAAGGTTTTGAGCCGGCCATTGGAATAAAACAACGGGAATATTCTTGCCATCGCCCGCACAAGTCTCAGTGGAGACTTTTCCGGGCACTAATTGGGATAAAACAACGGAATTATTCTTGCCTTCGCCCGCACAAGTCTTAGTGGAGACTTTTCCGGGCACCATTATGATAAAACAACAACGAGTTTTTATAGGGGTAGAGTGACCTCTGGCGGTCGATTTAGCAGAGTATTTGGATCTATGAAATTATAATTTAAAATAAAATAATATTTTTATATAACATATATATAGTTGTATGTACATTTATGAATAAAACTTAAGAATATGCAAATTCTTTAATATCGCCAGACGTCTGTTTATTTTTAAGGAGACAGAGGTAATTTTGTTCACATTTGGTTATCTCGTGTGTCTTCAATAAAGGTTACTGTGTATATCTTTCAAATTTATTATCTGAATCCCGATGTGCATGCTAAATGGTACAACTTGTTTAAGTTGTGTCTATGAGTGTAAATATGCAATATATATTTGTAGAGAATTATGATAAATTAAATTGGCTAGAAATATTCAAAACCAATTTTTATTTTGTTATTACAGAAGCACAAAGTCTATCAGACTATTGTGCTATATTGGAATTATTTACATATATATATATTATTATTTACACGATGAATTAGTAGTGATTTATAAATCTGTGTACAAATTGCTCTAAACTTGCCAAAGTGTTCATAAGATTGAGTATATACAGAAAGATGGCATTATGTCAAAGTAAGCAAGTACAATTTGGTTAGTCAGAGGGCAAGCCAACAAAAGATGGTGTTTCAACATCTAGACAGTATTCACATATTGAATCATTTATAACTCTCAAGTCAAAGAGACAAACTTAAAAAGGGTCCTTTGCCTGTGAAGAACAAAGTAGTGTATTTATCCAATAAAGACAAACTATCCCAATATTTAAATCACAGCAGTAGGGGAGAACAATATATTTAAATAATTTCAATTTTAAAATGTTAATACCGTACCTTAATGCTTCATAAACCATTAAGAAATCTTATTGATTTAGCACATAAGCTCGACGGCTTTATAAAATTTATTTTATAGAAAAAATTGTCTTGCATTGGTTTATAATAGTTACCATAAAAAAACCTTATTTATATCTAATTGTATATAAATTTTAAATAATTCTAATTTTGAAAACAGGTATGTAAATAGTATATATGTTATGAATAATTTGTTTGTTGTTAGATAATGGATTGATAAGACAAAGGATCGATAAGATAAAGGATTGAAAGTTCAGTCTTGATAAAAAAAAATTATTATTTTTTACTGTCAAGTAGCTTTTATTTTCAATTACTTGAGGAAATATTACACATTAGTTATTTTCACATTATATAGAATTTATAAAGTTAATCCTATATTAGTGATTTAAAAGGATAGATATGTTAACTACGCATATTTACAACAAAACTGAAAGTCTTTCTAAAAACGATGATAACAAAAGTAAAATTATCAATGAATAAAATAAAATATATATTTTTTAAAATATAGAAATATTTGAGTTTTTTGATAATATAATATATATGTATGTATATAAGCAGTTGATCTATCTAGATTCATTCTTTGGTTTTTATTACTGTTGAAGGGTCGTTAATACCCGAAAGCTTGAAAAGTAAAACATTAAATATAAGAAACTCATCCTTAGTGATTTTATTTTTCTATTAATTGTCGAAGGATTATAAGTCGATATGTAAAGTTTATTAAAAAATGTGTTATTATATAATAGAAACTTTCACAGGTTACCATAGCAACCAGTTTTAAGAGAACTAAACAAAGAATTCTTGAGTTAGAAGACAAATGGAAGCATCCTGTGTCCCCAGTGACTAAACTTCTATCATCACTCACAACCTAAGAGCTGCTGCTTCATTTGGGACTTTTTGACTTTAGGACCGTTATCCAAGTACGATTGTATATATGACATTGGAAAATATCCCGCGTGAGTTTCTTTTAAACGAAAAATCGAAATTTATTTTTAAGGAGAAATAACGACTATTTCTAATCTTAGAGATGAAGTATGAAAGGATGAATTGTAAAGAGTGATGATAAACGGAAAATAAAAGTGTCCAGGGATGGGATCTTCACAATTCATCCTTTCATACCTCATATCTAAGGTTAGAAATAGTCGTTATTTCTCCTTAAAAATAAATTTAGATTTTTCGTTTAAAAGAAACTCACGCGGGATATTTTCAAATGTCGTTTTACAACCATAAGCCGCATTATATTGTATTATGGATTGTATATATGTTATATAAAAATTGTATTTAATTTTAAAATTATAATTCCCAGAACAAACTACTCTGTTAATCGGACCACCAGATGTCGCAGCGCTTTACCTACTCGAATATAAATCCAATGTTGTTTCCCGGCCGATGCTGGGATTTCTCTCTCTAGCCTCTCCAACCTGGTCATAATGCTTTGTATATTCCGCTCAACACCTACTGCTGGAATGCCCACTCTTCTTCACCGCTAGACAACAGACAATAAATAATGTTGTAGATCTATATCAATTTGTAAATAGCAGAGAGAATTATCATAGATTTAACTATATAGATAAAGAATTCTTTAATCAATAAAAGAAACTCGTCTTCCTTCACCATGTTTTTTCGTTTAATTTAATTAATTAATGGATTTAACTATTTTTGTAAATATATTTATGATTATAGCTTTCTAATCTGAAAGGTTCAGGTTCCTAATATATATTATTGTTTCTCTTTTCAATTTTATTTTGATTACTTTGTCTTGTATAATATTTTTATAACTGTTTCTGTTTTTAAAAAAATGTAAAACTATGCAATTATCCCTAGCCGGGATATGACGTTTTGTGTGTTGAAATATATTTATATATATTCCGCTTTATGCGTCCATTGAGGACTCAAAAATAATCTATTTTGGTTAGCAACCCCGTAAATAAAGTTATTTCCATTACATTCCCGGCCTATGCATATTTTCTTTTATTTGCCTACGGCCATACCACAGTGAAAACACCGGTTCTCTTCCAAATACCGAAGTTAAGCAATGTCAGGCCCGGTCAGTACTTGGGAGGGTGACCATCTGGGAACACCCGGGTGTAGCTGTTGGATATTTCCACTTTGCTATAGTGCATTGTGGCTTGTCTGCTTGCTACATTCATTTTTGGGCTCGAAAATCATACACTTCAGTAAGTAGCCTGTAAAACCATCCTTTCTCTTTCCCGTTGGCCTGCTCAAATCTTTCTGTAGATATGTAAATATATCAAATAAAAAGGCATATATTGGATCAAAATATAATTTATTTTACCAATATTTCAGTTGGCGTTAAACTAACTGAAATATTGGTAAAATAAATGATATTTTGATCCAATATATGCCTTTTTATTTAAAGATTTATTTATGGATTTCTCTATTTTCAAAAAATGTGTAAATATGTAATATTTTATTTTCTTTTTTCTTCTTTAAGCCTCAAGTCAGGCAGTACTTTCCTCAAATTATGTATTTTATACAAGCTCAATTAAAATAAACTAGCAAATATAAATTAGAACTGTTTTTTATTATTTTATCTACCACGAATGCAATAAACAATACATAACCATGTATAAGAAAAAAAAACATATATATATAAGCATATATTAAGGATTTTACAATACACAGTATCCCACACTCTATCAAAACACTGATAACATACCTGTTACCCCATTGCGTAGTCTTTATTGTAGCATGCTTTAAAAAATAATTATTGACAAAAGTTAGATCCAATGGATGATATGTTTATTTGACTGATAGGTAAAAATGAAGAAACAAAAGGATTTAATTGAATAAAAAAATTGAAGATCATCTGTTTTTGAGATAATTTGTTGATTGGAAGTTTGTTTGGAAAAATATAGGTCGACATCGATCCGGAATCGAATCCCGCATTGTCTTTTTTTCTAAGGAAATAATTGCTTCAATGGCCCCCCGATTCTTGCAAAATTCTAATCTTCCAGAGAGTGAAAGTAACCAAACAGGACTTTAACAGACTTGTAAGTGTAAAGATATCGAACTGATTTCTACATTATTTTTCTTCAAATAAAAGACACTTCGGCCAGTAAATCTTTTTATTGTCTCGACGTTTCGACACACATCTTTTGTCCTCGTCAGGAGCGAACAAAAATTAAAACATTTGGCAAAGCATTAGAATGCTTTCTACGTGTATAGACATGTGATGTACTTACAGTAAAAACAGTCGCTAACTACCCACCATGATTACCATGGCGTGTACCAGGTTTACTATATATATATATAGTTCTTCAAATTAAAGAATTAATTTGAAGAACTATGAATTCCGGCTAGGGAGGCAGCCTCTATCTTATCGTAAAGATTACCTTTTTTTTGCTAGAAACACTAGATTATACTATTAAAGTACAGTTTAATCTGTCTATAGCGCCCCCTCTAAATAGCGCCTTCCTCTCTATATCCCCATTCCATGAGGCTCAAGGAGCATGGACTCATGAAATTCGTATAATCTTCACATAAGGGGGGATTAGAAACAAAAACAACAAAAAACAACAAGATTAATATTGATTTATCCGTTATAATTTAGAAATCTGTTTCAAATCAATCACATATACAGTTAAATCTGTCTATAGCCTACCCTCTAAATAGCGCCTTCCTCTCTATAGCGCCCGATTTTAAGCATTAAAATGTAAACATTTTACATTAAAAGTGACCTGTCTATAGCACTACCTCTCTCTATAGCACCCTATTTTGGTAAGTCTCAAGAGGGGGCGCTATAGACAGGTTTATTTGTATACCTATCGTAAGGATTACTAGTGATAATTTAAAGAGTAATTTATATCTGTGTGGAATTGCATGCAATTCCATCTATTTATGAAAGGAAATAGATTCAGTGCATTAAAGAAAGATCCAAACCCTAGATAGCCCATTGTCCAGGTTCTATTACACAAAGGCATTCCAAAAGTAAGGATTTCAAAGTTTTTCTTGCAATAACGATTCCTGAAATTGATCCCCAAATCCCTCATTAGTCAGTTGAAAAGCCAATTTCAGTTTCTGGATTGGTCCCCAGTGTGACCAATAGCTGGCTTTCTTTCCTTCAATTCGAAATCGTATGCTTAAAAAAAGAGATACGATAAGCCTGAAAAGTTTTACCCCGAATTAGAACAATTCGGAATATATATATATATATATATATATATATTTTTTCAAAAATACAGTTAAATCTGTCTATAGCGCCCCCTCTTGAGACTCACCAAAATAGAGTGCTATAGAGAGGGGGGTGCTATAGACAGGTCACTTTTAATGTAAAACGTTTACATTTTAATGTTTAAAATCGGGCGCTATAGAGAGGAAGGTGCTATTTAGAGGGGGGCGCTATAGACAGATTTAACTGTACTTTAATAGTATAATCTAGAGTTTCTAGCAAAAAATGGTAATATTCAGTGTATATAGTCAAACTCGGATAATTCAAAGCTTAAGGGACCAAAAAAATCGAATTAAAAACGGAAATTCTAGGGACCAAGTTAAATATTCGAATTAAAGACTTTTCGAATTGAAAATGTAGAATTATCCAAGTTGTACTGTATTTTTAAAACAGAGGAAGGGCCTGACTAAAAAGAATCATACGCGCCTATAATAGTTTCAAATATTCATAACAGATGGCGCGCTAATGTATAATCTAGTGTTTCTAGCAAAAAATGGTAATATTTAAAACAGAGAGTATATAAAAGAAGCATACTATGATATGAAAATCGGCATATAACAACCGCTCAAATGTACATTTTATATGACAGAGCGTCATCTAGAGTAATAAATATCAATTGATTGTTCATTTTTTTAGGTTTATCCCTAATAATTGTAAACCTATTTATTAATAAATCAAACAAACTAACCATTTACCTATTTCGAACTGACCCTCATCAGCTTGGTGTAGACTGTGTTCTACCGCGTTAGGGTAAAGGTTCGAGCTGCAGTGAGAACTATAAATTAATAATTTATATTTTAATAAGTGTCCAAAAATTACATACAATTATAAAAGGCAGGTGGAGTACAGTTTTTACTCCACCAGCGCCTAGAGTATTATATAATGGAAGGAACCGCCGCAGGTTGTAGCGACGCGCGGTAAACAGCCGGCGACATCAGGCGGTGTTCGAAAAGTGCGCGCGCAGGCCGGCTGGCCAGCCGCCGCTTCTCGCAGAATTCCCAGCGTCCCAGGCCAGCGTCGCCCGCTGGCATCCTCTTATCTCATGCCCCCCCTGGAGATTGGGACTTGGGACCGATCCAACGTAGTTGCTATAACGCGGGTTCGGTTCTCGGGTTCGAGGGGATAAGGTCTGCTGATGTTGAGCTGAGTTGGGTGGGGTGGTGTACGGTGGAGGCACGAAAGGTCGTAAGAATCTGCGATTACGGCGAAGAAGGCGTCCGGCGTCGGTCCGGATGAGGTAGCTGCGACCGCGTGGAAGTTGTTCGAGAACCTCAGCAAGGAGGGTCCAATGTTTTGTGCGGTGATCCTGGACAAGGACTATTGCTCCCACTTCCAATTGTGAGAGTGGCTTGGCGTTGCGATTGTATCGCTTGAGGGCTTTCTGCCTTAAGTTCTGGGCTCGTTGATCGCATTCTGAAATCCTTGTTCTCCATTCCTTGGCAAACTGACTACGGTGAAGCGGTAGCTTGGTACGTGTCGGGGCACCAAACACAATCTGCGCTGGACTTCGTCCCTCTGCTTTGGGCGTGTTTCGGAACTCCATCAAACTTTCTAAAAATGTGTCGGACTTGAGATTCCCATTGGTGGTGGTCTTGCTGATTAGGTACTTTATCGCTTTTACGGCCGCTTCGGCAAGTCCATTTGATTGAGGAAAGTGTGGAGATGAGGTGGAGTGCTCGATGTTCCAACGCTTTGTCCAACTCCGAAACTCTTGAGAGGAGAATTGGGGACCATTGTCGGATGTGAGTATCTCTGGGATGCCGTAATCTGCCATCCACTTTTGAAGGTGACGGATGACCGTGGTGGACGTGGGTGCTCTGCCACATTGCGTCACGTTGATCCAACCTGAAAAGCGGTCGACCATAACGAGATATTGGTATCCAGCGTGCGAAAAAAGGTCGCAGGAAACATGTTGAAATGGGTAGCTAGGCGGCGGGTCGGAATAGAGTGGTTCTTTCTGTTGCGAGGGTAGATAGGCTGAACACTCGGCACACGTTTTTACTACGTTCCGGATGTCATTAGTGATGCTCGGCCAAAAGACAGATTGGCCAGCGCGTCGAAGAGTCCGGTCTTGGCCTTGATGCGAAGCATGGAGTATTTTTAGCACTTCTGAGCGTAATGGTGTTGGGATGAGTAGGCGAGAGCCTAAGAAAACGAGTTCTTCGCGTACGCTTAGTTGGTGCAATACTCTCCAGTAGGGGCGAAGATCTTCGTCGAGGTCTTCTTTACGTTGAATCTTTTGAGGGATGATATTGCGTATACGTTTGTACTCTCCATCATGCTTTTCGTTGGAGGTCTTTATCAAACAGGCCACATATTAACCTGTCACGGATACGGAGTTGCTGTTGATAACCAGCAAGGGCAAACGTTTTCCCACAAGCTCTTTTTGTGCATATTGTAATACACGGGTCGCCGCATGTGCTGCACTTAAAATCCAGCTCATGTGCACACGAGTCATCAAGAGCTTTAAGGGCTGCGAAGTAGCGATCCACCGATTCTCCGGTTTGTTGGTCCCTACGATGAAAATCTTGCCGATCAAGGAGGGGGTTTCGCTTCTTGCGTAGGTAGGCCTCGAGAGCATTCACGGCTTCATCGAGGGTGGTGGTGGTAGAAATATGAAGGCGGCCTGATTGCCAAAGGATGGTCCATTCGGAATGGAGGGCGGCACGCAAAGTCACTTGCTGTGTGGATAGCGGGAAGGTGGCTACTTGTTGGGCGTCCACGTAGTCGTTCCAACGTTGTTTCCAATCGCGGAAAAAAGACATCGTTAACTCCTCCGGGGAAGCCAGTTTAGGAAGCTGGATGATTTTTGTGGCGTGGTGAGGAGGAGCTCCTAATGGGACTGTCGGTGTCGGATTCCGAGTAGCCATCTGCTGCAACAGTGCGGCTATGGACCTGAGGATG